TTGTAAAGTGTCCTGAGATGACTTTTGTTGTGATTTGCTGCTATACAAATAAAATTGATTTGATTTGATTTAGTAATATTGGAAATTTGGTGCTTCTAGACCACCTAGTGATTTCTTCTTTTGGAGTGTAGAGAAATTTTGGGTTTCTTGTTTTTCCAATAAAATTGTGAAGTTATAGAATAAAGTGATTTAAACCATTTATCTGTGGGTGTTGTGGGAAGCATTGTAAACAGTTGATTTGAGGTAGAGTTTTCATTTTGACAGTAGCCATTCGACCGATGAGTGAGAGAGGAAGATTGGAACAGTGTTTGAAATCATTTTCTATCTTAAAATGAAATTTAAATGTTTAAATAATGTAAACAATGAATAAACAAAAGACTAAAGTTTGATTTAGTTTTATTGGTGGCTCATGAGAGCAGTACATTAACAGCAGATTTTATTTTGACACGAGGACTAAAGCTGCAACAATACAAACACAAATCTACAGAGGTCTCACGCTGTCTTCTGTTCAGAAAACCAAACATGGAACCCAGTATCATCAGCCTCTCATTGTCTGTACAACATAAATATCTTTTATGAAAATAAATAACATCCACAGTGTGGAGTGAAACCTGAACTTTCAGATAAACATCAAAACACAAAGGAAGAAAAATGTAAGAAGCTGTTTATGTTTGTTTTAAAGGTACATTCCTCCTCTACTGTCCATGTATGGAAGTTCATTAATGACAAATCTGGAAGAAAAAACCCCGAATCTAATCCAAGATTAAATTTGACCGTGGGTGAGGAATGAAAATACATTTTTGAGCTGCAATAAACAGTTGTTTTCAATATCCATTAATGTGCTCATTCTTTTTACATTTAATCAAATAAGCAACATAAAACAACAAACATTTAAAAAATGACCACTACAGTTTCAGGCATGTCTTCAAATGTCTCATTTTGTCCAACCAACAGTCCAAAACCCAAAGATATTTCGTTTACTGTAAAATAAAACAAACCAAGAAACAAAACATCCCATTTGAAATGATGAATCCAAAACATTTGAGTTTTCTTATTTCCTCTTTACAATCAAAGCTGGTTTTAGACTCGCTGTTTATTTGGTCTTCAGTTTTTACTGGTGTGTCTTTTTTTATTAGAAATTTTGGTCATTTCTTCAATCAACTTGAACTATAATGTGCACTTTCAAGAAAAATTGAAATAAATAATTTTTAATTGTTACAAAATTTACTTGTGATGTTTAGTCCACTTGTAAATCATTTAAGACTAGGAGTAGTTCAGGAAGAGTTGACTGTGATGTTTCAAAGTTAATATACAAACCAATGTGGGACTTTGAAAAACTACAGCAGTGTATTTTTTATTTTATTATATATTTGAACCCTAACCCTATTTCTGCCACAATGAAGAAAATATTTTAATTTCCTGTAAAAATGTTATTTTAATATCAAAATTAAACAAGTAAGAAAACGTCATAACATGACAAATATTTTGCTTTAACGAGAGCTCTGTTAAAACAAGAAAGTGAGCAGTCACAGGCTCCCGTACAAATCCATGTCCACCGATATGTTGTGTCGTGTGTGCTTAGTCATTTTGTCATCAATGAACTTCCATATCAATCACCTTTTTCACATCTTCCAAGTGCAGGACTTTAACTCAGTTTGAAAGTAAACATTTGGTTTTACCAACAATTTATATGTAATTTTCTTCTCAGTTCATCTTTTAAGAAAATATATTTATAAATAATTTTTTCTTTGTTACCTGCACCTGAGAACCAATCAAACAAAAGAAAATGAAAATGAACTCACTCTTTGGTTGGACTCTGTTTCCTCATCCTGCTCTCTGCTGTATGATGGTTAATGATGTACACAGAGTACCACAGTTCAGGCCTGCAACTAAATGTCAATCAGTCTGTCGATCATTGCTCTAAGTTAACATTCAGTCTCTAACATCAAACGTCTCTGTTTTCCAGAGTCCAAACGGCTTCTTCAGTCCAATGTGAACTTTATTGACACGACAGAGTGAAGCAGCTGACTTGTCTACAAGCACCACAGGATGTGCCGTCACTGCAGGGGACCAGGTACGAAGAGGCTGGGCTATACAAAGCGGCGAATCAGATTGTTTTTCTCTGGCTCCAGGAACTCTTCCAGCAGAGCAGCAGTTACCTTCCTGAGCTCCTCCTCCAGACTGGACACCTCACTGCAACACAGATCACACATGTGGATATGAGCACAAACAGCATTTCACGATCAATGGAAAAGGAGCATCTGTAAAAAGGTGAACACATTTCTCTGAGCGTCACAAAGTCTGTGACATGACTTCTGTTGCTGTCAAGATTTGATCCACTGGGAAAGCCTGTCTTCTTGTTAAGTGTGATGTAATCTTCCACCTCTGGGTCCAAACTCCCCCAGATCCAAATGGCGGAGCCTGTCATCCTCTGCACAATAACATCTTTTTTTTTGCGACGCATCATTGAGAGTAAAAGAAAACGATCACATTCTTAAGATTCAAATAAAGTAGCCAGTGTCGCTGTTATGCCTGGTGGCATAATAACCAAACTTTATTACACATCATAGTAAATGTATTCCAATACAGAGCTTTATATATGGAGTCATATGTCATACTCGTTTTTAATCGTTCCCAGCTTTTACTGTGACTTTGATCAGCGCAAAATGTGTCCATGTATAGTGTTTACCTCAACTTTATGCTAACTAGCTTGCTAGCTAACGTTACAAGGCAGCAAAACAGACCACTTGCAGAAGTTTCATTGTTTTTAACTTAAGAACACTGTGACTGATCTAATCAATTGTAGCCATTTCTTTTTCTCCTTCCTGTTGCAAGGAAAGTGGTAGAATGACAGCTGAGCTGTGATTTTTGATTCAGATCTGTTGAAACAATGGGGAACACTACGCTGTGGCATACAGAGAGGAGGAGAACGAACTGCGGTTTGGACTCTGAAACATGATGTTACGTCACCACTTAACAAGTGGATTAGAGCTGTATTATATGTTATCTCTTCATGTCTTGTCAGCAGCAGGTAAACTGTGTGTTGGAAGTGGCTAACCTTTTCCCCGGTGCAGCGCAGAACTCGGTGTAGTACTTGATCTTGGGTTCGGTGCCGCTGGTCCTCAGCGTGGCCACGACACCATTCTCTAGTGTAAAGGTGATCATCTGACTACTCCTCGACACAGGAAGCACCTCCACAGGAAACACAAAGTCAGATTATATTATAGAAACAAAAAGTCAACACACGCAGCTCTTATCTGTCACCGCCTTACAGATCGAAGGTCAGGCTGGCTGCTGTCATATCCCATGGTGACGTCTCTGACGTGGACGATCCGAACACCGCCACACGTCTTTGGGTACGAACCCTCGCCTTCAAAGTTTCTGATCCGACTAAAGATCTTCTGGATGGTGGGAGGATTGTTACAGATGACGTATGAGGTTTTAGAAACATGATAACCATACCTGGAGATAGGAAGTCACAACAAAATAAGAGAGAAGAAACTTTCAGACATCAAACTCTGGATTTCACTGCAAATCACAGAATTAAAAAAAAAAAGACCTAAACAGAACTTTAAAGTTTGAAAATCTAAGAGTTACTGGAACCTTAATTTTCCTTTAAAAACACTTCTGGAGATTTTTCAAAGACCTCTAAAACCTCCTCAAGGACAAGGACAACCTGAAATGTGTCAGAGATAGGCTTTCTGGTCTCAGTGGTACTTTGCCGACGCTGCTCTGCTGAAAGCACGGATGTAAAAACACAGGTACGAAGAACCAAAACATGGCAGTGTTTGCTGCTCTCTACTCTTGCAACTTTTGGTTGCACTTTATTTTATAGGTACTGTTTTCCAGCTAAGCTCCTGGAAACAATTAAGGTTTTCTAAAAAATTTGCAGTGAATTGCTGGAATATTTCCAGAAAAACCTGGTACAGTTTTGTAATAATAAAGGAAATAGAACAAGTCTTAGTTGCTACAATCTGTAAAAGTAAAAGCATATCCATGTATCTCTGTACAAAACTAAAACTACACTGCATTTTATTCAAGCACTTTATATCAGATTGTCTGCCTGTGCCAAGCCACAATGTCTTAATATTCCTGCTTTAATTTTGATCCCTGTAATATCCAGCAGCCTGGGCGACTGTGGTTCAGTGGGTAGAGCGGTCATCTCCCAACCAGACGGTTGGAGGTTCGAATCACAGTGCCTGCAGTCCACATGTCGAAGTGTCTTGGGCAAGACAGTGAACCCTAAGTTGCCCCCAATGGTTAAAGCCATCGGTGTGAGTTGGTGCCGCAGGTGGCTGCCTTGGTTCTATACCAGAAACAAATTCTTTGTGTGTGTAACATACTTGGCCAACTCAGGTTCTTGTTGTGGAGGCACGCAGCCATTTCAGCCACAACCGCTGCCGAGCTCACACCATCTTTGTCTGGGACCATACTGCCACACAGGAAACCTGAACACATGGAGACCAAGCTTTTGTTGACCGAAAACAAATCTATGTTCCTTCAGTCAGGTGGAGTAACCATTAAGAGTTTTACATTATCCTAAAGAGACCAAGTCTCTGTTCCATATCCAATGATAATAAAAGAAATGAAGGTGATAAAAATTATAATGAGAAACTGCATGGAATGGGTGAAATCATGATTCACAGAGATCACAGTACTGTACATCTGACCCCCAGCATGGGGGGGCCAGGGTTTCAACCTTTACATCTTCACTGAGGGTGTACAGGACGGACACACTGAGAACCAATCATCTCGAGAGTTTCAGCCTTCACAATGAGTGAGGACTGAGGAGTTTGTCTTCACCACAAAATTCAGTAAGATAATAAGCTCAGTTACCGATCGACTCCTCGAAGGCAAATATGACTGTGTTTCCTGTTTTGGAGAGTTCGTGTATTCTGTTTCCAATCCACTTGAACCCTGGGAGAGTTTCCTGTTCAACACAGACAGACAGGAAACCATCGTCATTCACACTGTGACTGATACAGCAGTGCAGATGAAAAGTCTTGGCCCTTGTTCTGTCAGACCCTTTCTCATACTGTATGTCTTATTCTGGTGAGAAAATAGTAGGTGTAGCCAAGGACTCTCACCTCGAAGTGGAACCCCTCGATGCGAGCAAAGGCCTGCAGGATCTTTGAGGACACGGTGGTGGCCAACATGTAAACTCCCTGAGTTTCTGCAGGATCTGGATGGTTCTCCTTCCAGTTAAAGAACATCCACCAACCCAGCAGCGCCGCTAGCTCGTTACCAGTGAACACCTTCCAACCACACCTGTTACACAGGAAGAAACTGGTGAATATGCATGTAACACAGGTAAACACAAGCAAACCACATCACAGATAAACTACATCTTTATGATGAGTGAGCCCACAGGTTACATGGGGAACACGGTAGAAGTAATGTGGACTTTTGAGCTCTAACTCTGAACTGAAGTGCCTCTGAGCAAATGTGACCTGTCCCACAGTTACCTATCAGACTTCTCTGCTACAGCCAAACGATCAGCATCAGGATCTGTCGCCAGAATGATCCGAGCATTTTCCCTCTCTGCCAGGAGAAGAGAGAGCTCCTGGAACACAGAAGAAGAAAATAAATTATTAAAACAAAAACACTTAATCTAAAGAAAACACAAAGAAATGGAATTTGTTCTCTACCAGGACAGACTCTCCCTCCTCAGGGTTGGGGCAGTGGACAGAGGGGAAGTTAGGGTCAGGGTCCTTCTGCTCCGGGACAGGGATCGGCGGAGCAAAGCCAAAGCTCTGGAAGGCTTGCTGGACAAAAACGTGTCCGACGCCATGGAAGGATGAGTGGACGAACTTCAGCGGGCAGCTGCTGTTTAGATCCCTGAGAAAATATGACTTTCAGCATGTGGAGAAAAATGTGCAATGATTTATTCCACCACTGTGGAGCCAGAACAGAGAGGACCAGGGCTTAGAAGTAGAAAGGAGCAGTTCCCCTCACTGCCCTGTAGACCAGTACCAGAGTCTGGAACTGCATGCAAGTTGCAGCAGAAAACCAGTGTAGTGAACAAAGAACAGAGATAGTGTGGGCAAAGTTGGGAAGGTTGAACCCCTGGTGGAAAGTGGCATTCTGGACTAGTTACAGAGGTCTGGGGACTGGCTGCTGAGGTCTGAGGTTTTGGAGACTAGCTGCAGAGGTCTGGGGTCTTGGGGACTAGCTGCAGAGTCCTCCCCTTACCTGTGAAAGCAGAGGGAGGTGAGTTCTTCCATGTAGCAGCTGTTGATCTGCACCAGGGGATCGGTCCTCAGGGAGGAGCTCTCCACCAGCTCCTCCTCCCAGCAGGAGGTGCTCCAGGGCTCCAGCTGCTCCTCAATGCACCGCAGGATCTCCTTGTCATGAGGTGAAGAGATCTGAGCGCCATTACACCAGTACACCTGCAGAGGGAGACAGTAGCACAGGTGTGTGTACAGTTATAATGACTAGAGACCAGGTGCTCCAACAAAGCTCCAGTGGCAGACAGGTACACAGGGCTCTCTCCTCAAAGGGCCATTGGCCTGGTGTAAACACAGGAACACCAGCTCTTCAGTTACAGACACACAACTCTCCTGTCAGCAGTGTACACCATTTCTGTTTTGGTGTGGAGAGCTAAAATGTGACTAATTGTGAGATTATTCAATTTCTGCCTTGATTTCATCAGGTTTCTCTTAACTACACCACAGAGCGACTGCATCTCCGTCAAGTCAATCTCTGCACGACATTTAATTGTGGGTGGCAGGTACCGTTCTGTCCTTTCTTCTCTTTGACAGGCCGCCGGTAAACATGTCAGATAAGACTGCTACTTTATACCTTCATAGCTTTACCCCGATGTTCTCCTCATTGACCTGTTATCACTGTTAACAGCACACACTGTGGACACTGTGCGTGCACACAGTAAATTTAAATACCAATTTTCCATGGATTGCAGTTTGATAAATGGGGCTGCAGGTGTGTTGCTTCACAAAGTCTCCAGGCAGAACTCAGAGACGCTGAGCTGGGTGGAAAAACTGAAATAAACAAACTGAACAGTGTACCAGCTGCCAAGTTTTATTTGTGTGGGTTAAAAAATTAAGTAACTATGGCTCTATAAACCGGATAACTAACATGTAGTACTGAGATGTAAAATATGTAAAACAGGGATGTAACAATACCAAAAACACACAGTGTGGTATTGCCACAGTAAAAAGGCCATGGTATGATATTTGTCATGATATTAAAAAATGAAAAAAATCTTATTAAATAAAACTGCATTTTTTGTATAATGTATATAAATGTATACAGAATCTTTCTGTGAAATAATGTATTATTGCAGCAGCTGGATCTGGAAAACACAACAAGTCACTCAGTGGAACAGTGTATTTGTGGCCCTACGCGGGTTTAACTTTTACCGTCTGGTGGCAGTGCAGACCTGACCACCGGGGGCAGTAGTGAGCAAATCACTGCTTGGCGCACCAGAACGAGGACAAAAAGGTCTTAAACTAGGACCAGCCCTGTAAAGGTAAGACTTGAGCTTTACTGGAGGTGTTTTTCAAACATCTACTTTTTAGGAGAAAAGACTTTAAGGACGTTACTGAGTGGCTGGTTTTGTGTGTGAGCATCCGGTTTGTTTGCCCATCTCGGTTAAAGTGTAGCTCACAACGGTGCCCCGACTGCCTCTAAAAGACATATCCAGGACTGTCCTGGTCCTAAATGGCCTTCGTCCGTCAGTATTTGCAAACTTTGTCATTTTCCTTTCCACCTGTGTCAATAACCTAAAGAGGGAAACTGAAATGCTGTGACACAACAGCTGTAAAAGTCAACGATGGAGCAGCCGCTGTGTCTGTTTAAATTCTGTGACCTGGACACAGTTATACTAGCGAAGTAACCCTATGTAAAGTCCTGATAGATACTGTCAGTCCCACCATGGTATCGAGAAATTCTTCTGTCCAGATATCGTGAAATTTCAAATATCGTTACATGCCTATCATTTAATAGGTTGCATCCAGCATGAAAGTTTGCTAACTGACCTTGTACCCGTTGTCTTCTTTGGGATTGTGTGAAGCAGTGATCATCACTCCGGCTGCCGCTCCCATCTTCTTCACAGCATATGGCTGGAAACAAAAACACAGCGGTGCTGATGTAGATCTTGGCTACACACTGTATGACAGAGCAAACTGAAGCATTAGTGCTTCCTCACCACATACGGCGTGGGGATGAAGGTGGAGAACAGATGAACAGGAATGTCTCTGCTGAGCAGCACAGCAGCCGTCAGCTTCGCCAGCCTGAAACGCATGCAAACACACTCCAGCTTCAGACATGAAGCTGTATAGGGCAGACACTTCTCTGTACAGTTTGGTTAATCTGAGTCAAGACTACTCCTGACCACGAGGAGTAGTTCACTACACTGCTCAGTGTTTGACATCAAGTTTATCAAACATTTTTCTTGCACAAGAAATGCACAACATTCCTCATCTGCTCAATGTATATTCTGCTGGTGTTACTTGTGTCTTTGCCAGATTGTCTTGCATGCTCTCTGTAGCTTAAGCTTCCAGCTGCTTGGACTTCGCACTCTGCCTCTCGCTTTCTATCTAGATCTTTCACTGTGCTTGGATTATATGCTTGCTTTGCACTGCTTGGTTTTCTGGATTTTCGCCTCGTGTTTTCTCCCCTTTGGACTCTTTTCTCAGCTTGGACATGGCACTTGGACTCTATTTCTGCTTAGGGCTGTCTCCTGCTCGGTTTGGTCTGTCTGACTAAGTTCTGGTTTTTCTTTTAGCAATAAGAGTGTTTAGCTTAATCTGCCAGCCTGTCTGCGTTAGGCTCCACTACTCTCAGTTTTCCCTGTCTTTACTAGAAATATGACACTTGAAAAGTTCAGGAACCACATGTTACAGTCATCACTGAGTATGATCATGTGTTTATAGTCAATTACCGCTGACTGCTGCAGCCGCTCTCCTCCTGTCCTCGAGTGTCAAAACCAACAACCACTCCTCTGCCGCTGAAGTCTGGGAAATACCTGGACAGGTAGGAAAACAAACCCTGCACACAGACAAAAAAAAAAAAAAAACGGTTCAACTCCATGCTATATTGTTATATATAATACAACAATGATTGTTTTGTTTTATTAGCTTTATTTATTGGCACATGTTGCAAGACACAAAAATAAAAATTAGGTTTGATGTCAAAGACACATTATGAGACATCAGCACGAAATAGAAAGAAACAAATTAACTGGGCGATGTTTGATTTTAAACTATGTCTGTTGACGTGTGTGTGTGTGAGCTGCTTTGTTTTCTGCAGTCAAACAGTATGTACACTGGATGTTACTGGTCTAGCGGACTGGTCTGACCTACAGTGCCTTGCGAAAGTATTCGCCCCCCTTGAACTTTGCGACCTTTTGCCACATTTCAGGCTTCAAACATAAAGATATAAAACTGTAATTTTTTGTGAAGAATCAACAACAAGTGGGACACAATCATGAAGTGGAACGAAATTTATTGGATATTTCAAACTTTTTTAACAAATAAAAAACTGAAAAATTGGGCGTGCAAAATTATTCAGCCCCTTTACTTTCAGTGCAGCAAACTCTCTCCAGAAGTTCAGTGAGGATCTCTGAATGATCCAATGTTGACCTAAATGACTAATAAATACAAATAAACATATCCAGGTGTTAGAATGGCCAAGTCAAAGTCCAGACCTGAATCCAATCGAGAATCTGTGGAACGAACTGAAAACTGCTGTTCACAAACGCTCTCCATCCAATCTCACTGAGCTCGAGCTGTTTTGCACGGAGGAATGGGCAAAAATTTCAGTCTCTTGATGTGCAAAACTGTTAGAGACATACCCCAAGCGACTTACAGCTGTAATCGCAGCAAAAGGTGGCGCTACAAAGTATTAACTTAAGGGGGCTGAATAATTTTGCACGCCCAATTTTTCAGTTTTTTATTTGTTAAAAAAGTTTGAAATATCCAATAAATTTCGTTCCACTTCATGATTGTGTCCCACTTGTTGTTGATTCTTCACAAAAAATTACAGTTTTACATCTTTATGTTTGAAGCCTGAAATGTGGCAAAAGGTCGCAAAGTTCAAGGGGGCCGAATACTTTCGCAAGGCACTGTATGTGGACTGGATGTTACTGATGTAGCGGACTGGTCTGACCTGTGCGGAATGGACGTTACTGATGTAGCGGACTGGTCTGACCTGTGCGGACTGGACGTTACTGGTGTAGCGGACTGGTCTGACCTGTGCGGACTGGACGATACTGATGTAGCGGACTGGTCTGACCTGTGCGGACTGGATGTTATTGGTGTAGTGGACTGGATGTTACTGGTGTAGCGGACTGGTCTGACCTGTGCGGACTGGATGTTATTGGTGTAGTGGACTGGATGTTACTGGTGTAGTGGACTGGTCTGACCTGTGTGGACTGGATCACAGTGAGGTCGTTGATCCGGTTGAATCCGGCTCCCATTGGAGCTCTGAGCCCGGCTGTACCGAAGCTCATTCTGCTGCAGAGTCTTGACCTCAGGTCGTCCACCCGACACGCCACTACCAGAGACTCTATCTGAGCCCGAGTCCATGGGTTCTGCACCACAGGAGAGGAAACGCAGGTTAATCTTCTTCCTTTGTGCCATAGAGCTCCATTGTTGTCCAAAGACTACTAAATCACAGCAGTGAGCCACACTGTTCCTTTACCACCATGAACGTGCACAATGTAGTTTATTTGGACTCAGTCCTGCATACGCCATCCTACTGCCACACATACTTCAGGTGTTTGGACCCTAGTATACCTGCTTGCAAGTCTAGATTAAAAGCCCAAGTACCGTATGTATTGCAGAGCCATTTGTGAAGATTTCAGTAGGTAGTAGTAGTAGTATTGTAGCTTAGTCTCAGTTTTGTACAGTGGAGCCATGCTGGATAATTTTAGTTGAATTTTATTAATGTATCTACATTTTTAACATGAGTATTTATTTTTATGTCAATTCACTGAATAATTCCCAAATACATCTTGGGCCCCTGTATACTTTCTTGCAGGTCTAGCTTAAAATGCGTACTGTGTTTGCGAAAATAAAAATGGATGCGGCTCGTGATAGCATGTGCGTAGCAATGTACCAGTTAATGTGCAATTGAAATAAAGAAATAATAATAAGAATATCAAGAAGAAGGAGAGCACAAATATTGCTTATGGCCTCGCCTCCCCCAGCGCAGAACTGTGACATCTGTCGCATTTCAATGACATAAAAATCGCATGAAATGCGACATGGCTGTTCAGACTGAAGTCGCATTGCAAAACATCGGATATGTATTCGATTTAGGACCACATATGAAAGTGGCGTGGGCCGGATTTGAAAAAATCGGATTTGTGCTGTTCATACTGTCATAAGGAAATCGGATATGGGTCACATTTGGGCAAAAAGATTGGATTTGAGCCACTTCAGCCTGCAGTGTGAACGTGGCCTTATATGATTCCAGCTTTGTCTACTGTACTTCCATCTATGACCTGTTTCTGCAGCAGCCTCCACTCCTGGGTGTCCACAGCAGCAGTCAGAGGCTCAGTAATACATTAAACTGTACGGCTGTACCCATAAATGCAAAAGAGTGACAGGAGCACATTTCTGAGCATTTAAAAATCTGTAAAAGACAGCTGCATGTAATGCAAAAGATAAACTGTGACCTATTTAAACTGACGATATATGACGTCATAGATTTGTCGGAACGACTGGTATTTCTGTTGAAACAATGCTCCTATAGGTAGGTTTTTCTCCTGAGACGTGGTTATAGCTGAGTTTACTAACATTTTTAAACTTCTCCCATCAGTTAACCCACAACGTGTGTTGTTACTGTGTGTTTGATGTGCACCAGCTCACTGTGAAAACAATTCCTCTTATTTATAATTCCTCACTGAAATGTTTTCCCGTGTTTTTGTTAGCTTCCTAGGCCCATTTGGATGGATGCATGTTGCAGAAACGGTCGGTAAACGGTAAACTTTATTGGAGACGGGTAAACAAACTGGACTCACATACCATTCAGCAAAACCAGCCACGTGGTCGCAACAGTCTCTTGTAAACGTAGACCAGGATGATTGACAACACTTCTAATAAAGTACCAGTCATCGTTGAAGTGTGTATACCCCCACCCCCAACCACAGGGGCAGTATTGAGCAGGCTGCTGCTTGGCACACCGAAATGAGGAGAAGAAGACAAACTACTGGCTGGGGCTGCCTTCTACTGTAATGCACACTGGGTGACAAAAAGTATAATAAAATAAAAACATGGGCGTGAGTAGAGGAGTCTCAGTCAACTGACAGGTCTCTCGACTAATGATTCGACCAGTTGACTATTAAACTGCTGGATCATTGGTTGGTTATGAAGGTTAAATAGGGCAACTGTAAAATGCTGCTAATGTGTACTGAGCAGGACATTTCACAGCTGCAAAATAAACTGGTAAAAAATGTTAACAGAACATTTTAGACATTGAATTTCAGACAGTTGCAACAAAATGTTTAAAATTTGACACATATATATAAAAACTAGTGCTGGGCAATGATTAAAATCCTTAATCGCTGAGATTAACTGCGATTACCTGCACTGATATGAGCAGTATTCAATAATGAATTCAAAAGTACTGTATTGTGCACTTGTATTTTAAAAGTACTACTATATGAACAAAAGTGCAATAACATTTGGTTTGCAAACACTTTAAAAAAATAAGGTGCTTTTTACACAGTAGCAGCAAATCTCAAACAATGTAATCAAGCTCATATCAATCAAGGCTTATACGTGCCGTCATTCGTTGCGATCCTAATAACGTTCCTCAGACCAACATCTTCCATAATACTAATCAGCCTGCAGTTTGTAGCTATCCACTTAGCTATGGCATTTGTTAGCTTGTCTTGCTTTTGTTTATC